ATAGTTAGTTTTATGGATAGGTAGGTACGTATTTAATCATATGATAGGTACCTAGGTATATTGATATTTTATTTTTTTTAAAGGGGGAAAATCATCGAAGGGCTCCTCCTGTCTGGGTGAGCCGGGAGGGAGTGTCAGACTCTTACTGACTATAAACCACCCCGTTCCTTCTCCTGCACGTCGAGCTGGAGCCCCGGTAACCCGTTAGGTTCTCCGCGACACTTTTATTGATATTAGGATCTACTTATTTCCTAGGGCATAAGAACCAAAATGGTAGGTAGATACCTAAACGTCATGTATTGGGCTCGCTGCCATTGCTGGGCTCGCTGCCATTGCAGCGGTAAGTCCCCTCTTTGAGGAGTGGCTTGAGAGACGCTACGGCGTCCTCACCTACCGCCTGACGCAGGTCCTCACCGGACATGGAAGTTTCGGGAGGTACCTGTGTCTGATGGGGCGGGAGGAAACGCCCGGGTGTCATCACTGCGAGGACCGCCCTGAGGACACGGTGGAACACACCGTAGCGGAATGCCCTGCGTGGGCTGAGCACCGCCGTGCCCTCAGGGAAGTGATCGGCGAAGGCGACCTCTCGCGTCCGGGCCTAGTGCAGGCCATGATGCGGAGCGAGGGGGACTGGGATGCCGTCTCCTCCTTTTGCGAAGCAGTCATGCTAGCTAAGGAGGAGGCGGGACGCGTGAGGCAGCGAAGCGCTGCCTCCTCGCAACCCAGCCATCGTGAAGGACACACCGGGCGTCGGGGATCGCGGGACGATCTCCGGCCACCGTAAGCGCGGGCCTGCGGACGGCGAGCATGGGTGGCCCCTCATCCGACCAGAAACAGACCCGAGCGTACGGCGCGTCGCGTTCCGCGCGCGCCTCAAAGAGCCATCAGACCACCACAGATGGGGCCCAATAGGGCCGATGCCGATTCGGAGTCGCGGAGAACCTAACGGGTAACCGGGGCTCCGGCTCGACGTGCAGGAGAAGGAACGGGGTGGTTTTTAGTCAGTAAGAGTCTGACACTCCCTTCCGCCTCACCCAGACGGGAGCAGTCATTCGATGATTTTCCCCCCTTAAAAAAAAAAAACGTCATGTATTTTTTTCTATAAGTAGTGTTTATCGAACTACTCACAATTCTTTTGCTTCTACAAGTCCATGCCCAAGAACATTATGACTGAAATACTAAAGGTCAATTTGTCCATTTACCATAAACTTCACAGTCATTTCAAATAATCGGGTATAAACGTACCATAGATGTATTATATATCGCTTGTGAGTCGCGTTTAGCGTGGGAGTGCAATATGACTAACATTAAGTTTTGAATGTTAAGGTTGAAGAATAATTGCGTTGACTATAGGGACTGCCTCATTGGCCGAGTGGTCGTAAGTGCGACTGCCGCGCAAGGGGTCTTGGGTTCAATTCCCTGATCGGGCAAAGTATTACTGAATTAAAAAAAAAAACTTCTGTAGTAGCACGGAGTCTGGAATTGTGCCCGGTATATGGCAATAAGCTCACCCCCTATTACATGGGAGTCATAACATGAAGAGTGAAAAGTGGATGTGACATTGTAGTTGGCATTAAGTGTTATAATGTGCACCTCTGCCTACCTTCGGGGATAACAGGCGTGATGTTATATGACTATAGGGAACCTAATATTGATAGATGTAACTAATAAGCATTACATACTTTTTATTGAAGGGGGAACATCATGCAAAGCCTTCTCCCGCCTTGGGTGAACCGAGAAGAAGTGTCAGACTCTTACTGACTAAAAACTACACCGGTTTCTACTCATGCTTTGAACAAAAGCCCCGGTAACCAGCTAGGTCGTGCACAGCTCCGAAGGTTAGGACATACTATCTATGTACCTATAGCTAGGACAATAGGTAAGTGCCTATGTTATGGAAATTGCGTCCCCTATTAACATCTTGAGTGCCGGTATATCCTTACTATATAATATTATAAATCAGAAAGTGAGTTTGTTTGTTCCGCTTTCACGCCGTAACTACTCAACCGATTGCTTTGAATTTTTGCAGGCGTTAAGTTAGAAGTCTGGATTAAATAATAGGGTACGTTTTATCCCGGAAAAATTTAATATTCCCGAGGGATAACGAAATTATTGGTATATATAGATGGCGCTGTGAGTATTGGTATATGTCACATAGGCTCCTTTCATCCTTTTGTGACGCGAGCGAAGCCGCGGGTAAAAGCTAGTAAGACAATAAAAAATACATTGTTTCTCCCGAGGATCTGCGTTCCATCACACGATGGGTTAATGGTTGCGTCACCAGAACAAACTGATGTCAGTATTGTCAGTGCGTCGAACGTCCAGCATTTGTAGTGGCTGACATATTATAGATGGTCAAGTGTAGTACCTACCTACATTTTCATGGCATATATATGAACTTGCAAAAAATTAAAAAAAAATAGATTAGATTAGATGGGACTGACGTTTGATCACTATCTCGCCTGGTGGTAAGCGATGATGTGGCCTACGATAGAGCACGTCGACGCATAAGCAACCTATTCACTCGGGCCTTGAAGACACCCTTCAGGGAATACAGACTCTGGCAAAGAATTCTACTCCTTAGCAGTACGTACAAGGAACCTTGATGCGAAGCGCTTCGTGCGTGTGGGTGGGACATTTTTTATAAGTATAATTTTATAAGTGAAAATTTGTCATTGGCTATCAGATACACACACAATTTCATACTTTTTTTTCGCTAGCTATTAGTTTTCAAAACATGTTAAAAAAAATAATAAAAATAACACATGCTGCTTTTGCCTGCTATTTAATGGTTCCTATGTTGTTCCAAATAAAAAAAATTATTATATTATATATTATTTTTATCACACTGCCTCGTTGGCCGAGTGGTCGTAAGTACAACTGCCGGGCAAGGGGTCTCGGGTTCGATTCCCGGGTCGGGCAAAGTATTACTGGGTTTTTAAATATTCTCAGTAGTAGCACCGAGTCTGGAGTTGTCCGGTATATGGCAACAGGCTCACCCCCTATTACATGGGACTCATAACATAAATAGTGGAAAGTGGGTGTTCTTCTGTGTGCACCCTTGCCTACTCCTTCGGGGATAAAAGGCGTAATGTTATGTTATGTTATGTTATTTTTATCACACAGGAACACGGGCAAGAGTTAGCAAGTGCTGGTAGGTAGGTACTTAATTTGATTAACCTTTTGTATCGAAACCGTAGGTAGGTAGATAAGTACCTACTTAGACAACAGTTTCCCACCCATCGTTACGCAACTTATAACATCACACATAAAATAATAGATAGCTTGACAAATACTTAATATCATTGTTTCCGTGTGGTCGCCTTCGATCGATAGCGTACCTACGACAAATATTGGCTTGTTTCTGGCTAAAAATATGAAGCAATACATAATAAATGAATTACCTACTATTTTTATGATAGGGTTGTATGATCGGACCTTTGTTCGTAATTCAAGGTCATGGGTGTATTGAATTTCCTACGTAGGTAGATATTTACTTCCTACACCGTGAAATCTACTTCGTTTACGTCTCGCGGCAAAACGACTTGTCATAAGTAGTACTTCGATGTACCTATAAAGTACTTAAAAGCAAAAAAATCAATCCATAATAACTATAGTGAGACATACTAAATTAACTAAAAATTGCGAGTTACTCATATGAATATACAGAGTAAAGCTCTACTAGTTTCGAACCACAGAGGAGTTCTTCCTCATGAGACTATCATGACATCCGAAACTTGTAGAGCTTTTCTCACTATATTCACGTGAGTAACTCGCGATTTTTAGTTAAAAATCAATCAGTTGACTGCACGGTTGGTGCGGTGGCTGGGCAACCGGCTACCGTGCAACGTGTCGCGGGTTCGATTCCCGCACGGAACAACACTTTGTGTGATCCACAAATTGTTGTTCCGGGTCTGGGTGTCATTGTGTATGTGAACTTCTATGTTTGTAAACGCACCCACGACACAGGTGAAAATCCTAATGTGGTGCAAAGTTATAAAAAAAAATCTGTTTTTAAATCACGGAAATACGCACATGAAACACTAGTAGAGGTTTTGTAAGCACTGTTCGCATCGCACGTGCCACCCCACGAGAAATACCTCTTCGAGAATTACATGGTGTAATGTTTTGATAATGTATTATGAGTTCGTACGCACCAGTTATTTTTTGTTTTTTTTACAATTACCAGGACATAACCATTTTACTTCGGGACGAAAACGAAATAGATTTCACGTTGTACCTAGGTATAATTATACTAAATTCATCAGCATAACGTTCTCCATAAAAAAGCATCTACAAGAGTAAAATAAAATAGCCACTTTAAGTTCATTTACCATTATATTTAATTACATATAAAAATTATCGCTAACGAATTAAAAACTACTTACAACTAAACAGACGAATTGATATTCAATAATAATGAACATCATTCCTTAAATGGATCAGCCTTTTTAATATGAAATTGGTTAATTTACTAATTTGAATATCAACATGGATGAATATCTAGGCACAAATCATTCTAAAGCCACAATTCTATTTTGTTTTCTCTTCCTTTGCATCGTTTTTTCTAATCTGTTGATGTTGGCACAGAATTTTATTCAGATTCGGATGAATGTACTGTATTCTAGTGTACTCTAGATGACACGTGTGATTCGGATGTATGTAAGTATTCTAGAGTAGTGTACATGACACTGCTGATTTGGATGTATGTATTCTAGTGTACTCGAGATGACACCGCTGATTCGGATTCATGTATTCTAGTGTACTTTAGATGACACGGCTTATTCGAATGAAGTATTCTAGTGTACTCTAGACCCATAGACACGGCTAACATATATGAATTTCTTTTTTCATGGTCAATTGATATTGATGATAAATAATTCAGGTATACAATAATGTGGCATATTTAGATCCATGTACATGAAGATCGGAAATTATGCACATAAAAATAGTTCAGGTGATTCATTTGTTAAATAATAAATACTGTCTTATAAAGTAGGCTATACACCGGTCAACATGCCACCTCCACTGCTATTCTGTAGTTTCGCAATTTCATCTTTGAATTTATTAATGGTTTCCTTAGCTAAATGTAACTTCTCCTTTAGTTCTGATATTTCACTCCGGACTTTAGTTTGGGCGGCTATTATCTTTTGTAATGTCTTTTCTTTCTTTTCTTCAACTGAAACAAAAATAATTATACTGCTTAGTTTAGTGATTGGTTTAAAAACTAATTAATTACCACCAGAATCAGAATCAGAATCAGAATATTCTTATACCATACTTCTTTATACCATGATTCTAATTATTTAAAAAAAAAAGAATTCAATAGAGGTTCTGAACTATGTTTGGTTGTTCTATTCTAGGTATCTGTCACACTCAGAACTCAAACATCAATTCGTAAAGAACTGAAGTGCACAGTAGCTAAATATCTACTGTGTTAAACATGAACCATGTGTAGTCAAAACCAGATTTTAAACAAATTAGCACAGATTACACATCAACAGCCACGGCTGACCAAAGGCCTCTTCTCACACAGAGATGGTTTTGAGTACTAATAATTACCACACGTTCTTTCAAACTTATATTTAGAAATTATAAGCCCAGGTTTCCTCTCATATATTATCCTTCACTGTATAAATAATCTTAGAAAGTACATAACTCGGAAAAAGTCACATGGGTACTTATGGTTGGTAGGTTTCAAACCTGCACCCTCGTGCATGAGTAGCGGCCGTCTTAAGCCCCCGGGCCACCACAACGGTATAACAAATTAGCACTTATTATTGGAAACTATTTCTTACAATCAGTATCATGAGTCCAGGGTCCATTAGTGATGGGTTTGACACTGTTCAGCAAATGCTGCATCAGCTGTGTCGGTTCTTGGAAGACTATCTCTTCATAGGATTCACTGACCAGTGCTCGACCCACTGCAGGCGGAGTTCCATCCGCAACTGGCGACTGGAAGAGCTTAAGAATATGGTATAGTGCTACCTGAAATAACAAATAATAAGTACATGTTTAGTATAATTATAGGGCAGGTCTCGTTGTTCGCGGCCACCAGTTTGCATGCCATTTATGGATTAACGTGAATGTGAGATACTGATGAAGTTTGAGATCAAACAGATGTGAACAACTTCTCTACTCATTTCAAATTTAAAGGATATTCTGTAATATGGATGCGGACTATTGAACTTCCCTATTTGACTTTTGTAATAAAGGCAAAGTAGAATGTCTCATAAGAACTGACAAAGAGACTAGGTCATAGGCATAGGTCAGAGACCAAAGACCTTTCAAACCCCTCTAATGTAATTCACCACAGCCTCACAGAAAACCAATGTGATATAACGCTTTCATTGTGTTTTGTCCTGTGGATGAGGTTATCGGAGTCCCAATTACCACCCAATCCCCAAACCCCGAGTCCCCAACAATCCTTAAATTCCTAATGTCATTTTAGACCAGCCAGCAATGAACTTGTTGTAACACCTCTGGTGTTCCGGGTGATGCCGATTGCTTACCATCATCTGCTTGTTAATTGGATAATTTCAGAAAAAAGCGTAGGTTAACCATAGCCCAGTAAGCTATTATAGGCTATTGATATGATTCATAGTAGTTGTGACTAAAGTCAGTTTGAGGTCTTAAGATAAGTCTCACAATATTCAAAATGTTGAAGAAATAATTAGTTATAGGCACTCACAGGTCGTTCATTTGGATCGTGGAAGTAGATCTTGATAACTATCTCGAACTCCCCCCAACCTGTCTCGGTCAGCTCATATGGTTGTTTAGTCACTACTCTGTTGGGGTTCGCATAACTCTCGTGCAGTTTAAAGTGGACCTTCTTGATGTAAGTGGACATATCCTCGTTAGCATAAGGCTTCACATACACCGTCCATTGATGTGTATGGCCATCTTCTTCACGCTTTTTGCCAAAGTATCGCGCTACATTACCGTATACTATAGGTTTTACTATCACAAGACCCTGGAAATATGTAAAGATGTTTAGATGTTAAGTTAGTTGCTAATTCTTAAGTTGCAAAGCTATAGTCAAAGTCAAAGTCAAAGCATTTATTTCAATTAAACCATAGTTTGGTACTTTTGAAACATCAACAAATACAAAATAAATAAGTCTGTCAGTCAGTCCGTCAGTGAAACTAGGTGAAGCTAGGTGCTCATTCCAAAAAGTAGATTTGAATGGAGAAGAACGAGCAAGAAACTCCATTCGTTACTCTTTTTAAAAAAGTATGTTCTACAATGTCTCTAACTAACAAGACATAACATTAAAAAAGTTAAGTGAATTCGTGTTTATTTTAGAATATACAACTGTATTAGGCTATTTTAAAGTACTAGTATAGTAATGCTTTTTGAGGTATCCTATCACATCACAATATCTAATATAGACAACGAAATGCATCTTCGAGTGTTGCTAGAAGGTTCCTAGAAAAACTTAACAGTTTAGTTCTTTTGAAAGCACTTACTTTAACTCTGCCCCCTGAATCGGGGCCAAAGTCAGTTTGTAAGCTCATATCCAAATCTATTTTCGCCGACAGCTTGGTATTTTTAATATAACTGTTTTGTAAACAAAGATAACCTCACTTCGCGCGAGTTTCGATCGACTTCTACCTACTGTCACATTGACAATTGACTATGACAGTATAGAAGTCAGGGTCTTTTTTCTTGTTAAATAGCTGGCTTTTGACATTTATTCGTCTAGGCTTGCTTGGTCTAGCAACAATCTATATATATAAAAGAAAGTCGTGTTAGTTACACTATTTATAACTCAAGAATGCCTCAATCGATTTACATAAAAATTGGCAGGGAGGTAGCTTAGAACCAGGAGACGGACATAGGATACTTTTTATAGAATACTTTTTTTTTACTTTTTACCGAAAATCACGAACGGGAACGGGGGGAAAATGGGATTGCGCGTACGAAGTCGCGGGCAGAAGCTAGTTTTAAATAACAATCACTTTTGGTAAATTGTTTTCTTTGTCATGTTTTATTTTTATTTTAAACGTATCTTTAATAGCTCCTATATTTTTTGCTCATTTTGAAAGATTAAACTCGGCTACAAAAGGTCGCTGGGTGAAATTTTTTATTTTAGTGTAAAATTGTTGAAATTGATGGTAGTTATGTAAAGTTTCGTCTAATGTTATTTAAGGTAATTGTCTATTGTCATTTTAATAGAGTAGGTATATTATGTTTCATTCAAAGACAAAGAATAAAGTAAGTTTAAGGGAAAGTGTAACTTTAACAAATAGTAAATAAAACACCCGTTTATTTATTTATTTTAATAATTACATCTTATTAGAAGGCAAGTGAACAATGGTCCAACAAGCTCTTTTCTTAATCGCGATATTACAATTGAATAATTAACATTAAACTAACTACGTAATTGCATAGGCTCTAAGATATAATGAGCACAGTAAAACAGTCACAACATTGAGAACTTTACTGAATGTGTTGTCGTCACATGACGGCTGCGGTCGGGCGGGGTCACTGTTTAGGCCGTTTGCACAAAATACACAAAATATATTAAAACCTTAAACAATGACATACACTTATTGAAATAACATCAATGGGATCACAATCATGATTCCAATATCTGGCTACAGATTATTCATAAAAAATATTTAAGCAATCAGTATCCTCGTGTGACTTTTAAAATTTGTGGTCAGTGCGTTGTTCCAGCTCTGCGAGCAGTGGGTCACTCTCTTCTTCGAATTTTGACGATCTTGATCCATGTCGGGAAGCTGACACTCTCTGGGAGAATGTGAGAAGATTGGGCACAAGAGAGCTGCATGGCGTGGCTGGAGCTGATCGAGAAGAGGTCCGAGTTGTAGGGGAGATTCTTGAAGTCCTAACAGGGTAAGCTACTGACAATGGCATGTATAAGCTCGTTTTTCGTTGCCTTGGCGTTTTCTTAACGCTCTCAAGGCGTCTGTGACGTCTCTCGTCACTAGTCCTCCTTAAAGTGGAATCCCTGGATGTCTGTGTTGGGCTGGTCGGTTGCGGCGGTGACTCAGGTGGGTCAGGTTTGCCAGTGTAGAACTGTCGCAAGCTGCCGTACGCCTCGTGCATGTACATATTGTTGTCGTCATCTTCGTCAAGGGACTGGTGGGTTGGAGGTGATGAACCGAGTCGCGGCTTGCATCCTCCATCGCAGTACATCTCGCAGTCAATAAGCTCCAATTCAAGGTCGAAGGTAGAGTCCTGAAAATATAAGAAAACATAGAAATATTTTTAATGCTGTTCCACGGTGAAAAAGTCTTGGCGTAACTAACTACAAAAATAAAAAGATAAAGAAATTGTGACATGGGACGTGGTTGTTTCTTATTTAAGTACCGGAATGTACTAAGAAGCTTTTTGCAAAAGTTATACTGTGCAGTCTCACTAACCAAGGGTTGGACAGGTGAAGTGATAAGGTTGTCCCGGAAGGCAGCGGGTGGGTCTCGTGGTCTGGCGGGCATGGGTTCGGTGCGGGAGCGCTGGGGGACCGGTGCTGGGGCAGCGCGCTGCTCCGTCAGCGAGGACAGGGACCGTAGCAGTGGTCCGCAGCCCACGCCGCACTCCTCGTAGTTGTTCGCGCACGAGTACGGCGGTGGAATGATTGAATTTGCCTGAGAACATGATGTTAGATCTGACTTAAAACTGTGAACATCTGCTGCTGTTTGTGAGTAACCCGAAGTGACGTGACTATAAGCATTTATCATTTCAGGGTGCATAATTTAGTACTATCACAACGCTACAAGAAAATTATCTCTTCTCTGTACGTAACTTGTAAACACAGAAGCCTTACAATTCCAACAAGTGAATACAAAGTAAATAAATGCAAGTGAGTAACCGGTTCAGTCTGGAAATCGTGACACACTTAACTTAATGAGGTTTAATGATAAGATGCAGTATTACCTCATTCGCCGCGTTGCATATGAAACTGGAGTTGAGAGATTCTGCAGTACTCGTCGCTGATAGAGAGCCTGAAACAACAAGCATCAATAATCACACTATTTTCTCTCAAAAACTTTTAAAATATAAAGTACCTACTAACAGTTGTCATGTTCAGTTTAGCTAGTCTCAATACCCCTTCGTGCTTTTTAAAAGCCTTTCTCACGGGATCCAGCATTTTTTACGAACATTGCAACCGTTTGATCTGATTCACGTCGTCCAGGCGACTGTTTGTTCTCTGCAGCTGGTAATTCAATTAGCATGAAAGCAAGTCTCTCGAAATAAGCTCTGAAGCCGATTAGATGCAGACGGCTTGGGTAGTAATATGTTAATGATGTAGGTAAGTATGATGTTAACTTCTATTCGCTTCTTTACGAGAAAAATAATCAAAGTAATTTATTGACCGACAGCAAATCAATCAATATGATGATTAGAATGTACCATGCTAACGACCTTTCAAAGTTATCACTAATGGTGCACTTCAAGCGCTAGTCAGCTTTTGTCAGTTTGAACTGTATGTCTTTCTACACTTCTATAAGAAGGGTGGGAAAGTAGGTACATACCTGGTGCACGAATCACGTAGTTCCGGAAGTAATGTACCATGAGATAGTTGCCAGCTTTGGCGTCGCCCTCACCGCAAGTGATGACCAGTGGATATAGATCAGGTTTAGACGCGACCTATGACAAAATTAAAATAACATTTTAATATCGGTAAGGTGTTGGTATAATGAGAAATAACATTTTACGAAACATTAAGAAATATGTGTAAAATACTATAAAAAGCACTCTAGGCCTTATCATTCTCGTTTTCTGAGGATCAAAGCATCGACACAACAGCAGAACAATCATGCAGACATCGATCACAACAAACAGCCGGATTCCTTTTTTTGTAATGATAAGTATCAATAAAAAATAAAACTGGCGAAAACAAATAAACCTCCAACTGAAGTAGTTTCACAATAAGTATATCACTTCAGAATACGGTGGTGGTGCCTGGTGGAAGGATCCGCAGCGGCTGTAGCGGGGCGGCGGGTACACCGAGCCCGCTGAGTCGTGTTCCGAGGTCGGCCGCCGCACGCAGCACGCCATCGAACACATGTACACCCCATGACCTGATGGTCTCTTGAAGAATAGACACCAGATGCAGCAAATCAAAATACCGCCAAGAGTTCCAAGAAGAAACAGTACGGGCCTGCAAAGATAAAAATACATGATTGGCTTTAAGATCATCAGATTCATCAGTTTTCAGTTCTTTGCATCAGTTCTTTGCGGTAGGTAAGTTGTTAAGCGTAAATTAATTAAAACCTATGCACTAAAATTTATTACGTGGCAACACTAAATGTTTTTTTTTATTTAGTCGAGGTGCCAAATTCAATCAGCCTATACTTATAAAAATGATTTTATTTTCATTTGTTTTTCTTATTATGTAAAATAATTAAATAGTTATGTTAATCTTACCACTGCGCATACCAAGCATAGCTATAACTATGCTCTTTGAGTGGTGGTTCGTCGGCATCTCGCCGCGAAAGTATTGGTGGTGTTGTGTTTACCCGTCGCGGCGGGTTTACTGTCGTAACGGAGCCGGCGTCGCAGCACCCGAGCTCGCAACACATCCATTGCGTAGGGCATGAGTGCCCCTCCTGGCATAGCACTTCAGTTACGCACTGAAAGTAAAATAAAAATTGTAAAATCTGCTCCTTTAAGAAGTCAGAATGTCGAACAGGAACAGTTGTAAAATGAAATAGGATTAAAATCGATAGGTATTCGAGATTTCCACTATCGATTTTTCATGTTATAAGAGTGATGGCACTATGTAGGTGTTTAGTCATCATAATTGTGTCTTAAAATAATTGAGAATTAACAATACCCCTTAAGCGTTTTTTTTAAAAAGTATCTCAGTTCACTAAAATTAAAGTAATAGGAACCATAAAAACATTGGCCTCAAATCAAAACTGTTATTAAAAACAAGAAGTAAAGTAAACACAACACAGTAAATGGGAGCGACCCAATCTCTTAGCTGAAGCAGCCTCTCAAAGAAGTCAGTCACTTGACACATCTTCAGTGAAACGCTTAGCTTTCAAACCTCCACTACACGGAATAGAAGACATTATGAAGTCATTTATATAGGCTACATTCATATGACTACAGGCCTATTCATCTACTTTCCAGTTTCTAAAAGGTTTTTACACATCAATCAAAAGAGGGTTCACGTATTCACTTTCTTTTAAAGTCATTCAGTTGAAATAATCTTCAGGGTTATGCCAGGGCCGAATCGTGCGTGTGTTCTTGTTCTTGTGTCACTCGACAACTGATATGGGAAGTGGGAAGTAACGAGAAAAGGAGGCAAAGACATAGTGTGGCGACATTACTCGTCATGTCACACGTCATGCTCCCGCGCGCGCCTCAAAGAGCCATCAGACCACCACAGATGGGGCCCAACAGGGCTGATGCCGATTCGGAATCGCGGAGAACCTAACGGGTAACCGGAGCTCCAGCTCGACGTGCAGGAGAAGGAACGGGGTGGTTTTTAGTCAGTAAGAGTCTGACACTCCCTCCCGCCTCACCCAGTCGGGAGCAGTCATTCGATGATTTTCACCCCTTAAAAAAAACACGTCATGCTCCTCGTCCTGCCCACTGCTCCCTATTTTGTCGGTTTTTGCGCACGTGTCAAAGGGACCGACAATACGAGGAGGCAACGAGGTCCAGCAATAGGAGCGTCGCGATTAATTGCGCGAGTAATGCAGTGTGTGGGCTGAGAGAGCAACATCGCGGCCAATCACGGCAGCGCGAGGAGCATAACGATGACCAGCGCGAGGAGCATAGTCTAGCAGGCGCGTTAAAGTATTGTAATGAGGTCTTTTTGGTACAGTCATATTGTATTTACCATGGAATAGGAAATTCCATGTATCTACATTATAATTACATAAAGTATAGGTTTATACGTATCAAAAGAGCGTATTAGGTAGTCGTCATTGAAAAGAGAGTGCAAAGGAGTTATATGTATACCTACGTAATTAATGGCTTACTTGCAAGCAAACCGCCACGACTCGCAACGCGGCGACTGTCGATGACTGCATCGCGGGTCTCGGAATACTGCTCGTGAATATGAGCCTCTAGTATGGCTTGAAACTAGTCGAGTTCCTCGTCAAACAATTACGTGAGTAAGCAGAAAAACATAATAATTAATTTTCAAATAGAATCTAGTGTCATTAACAAGCAAATTTTAATTACGAGGAGGACTAAATACTGATATAGAACTGTAATTCTTATAATGTTACCTATCGTTTTCGAAAGCATCCTTAAATCCGGCTCTGTCCAATTTCGTATTGAAATAAATCAAGGCCGTTACTCGGGATAAGTAAACAAAATAAATTCAGACTTAAATCTGAAATACGATTATGTAAAAGGTCACATTTATAATGACTTTCCTGAAATGATTCATTCGTTTGATATTTGTAAATAAATAGGACGGGGATGACGCAATATTTCAGTTTTGGGAGCGTCTCTTGTAGGCAGGTAAATTTTGTAAGCATTTTAGATAAATTGTGTTTCTTTTAAGAGTTTTAAGCATTCATCGAAGGTAAATTTTATTGGAAAAGCCGAATACGACGGAAAAAATATATACCAAAGGGTTTTTTAACAGGAAAACATAGGGAAATCAATTAGTGTTAATTTTCTCAACATGGGAATCGACCTTAAACCTTTTGTTAACCAGTCTCTCTATCTAGAGGTATAAACCGACTTGTTGAACTAAACACCTAATATCCTCCAATAAATTACTATACTATGCAATTGCTAACTCGGACCAGTTAGCAATTTATACACATTCAATTAAAAGTAATAATTACCTACACATTAATGTTCACATCGAAATATAAAAATGTGTAAGTATAAATTGCTAACTGAGACCTCAATTTCTCCCTGAAAATTCTTGAGAAAGAAGCCGTATCAAGGAATCAAGGTAAACCAAACAAAGGTGGCCTCGTTGCCATGACAACGCACATTGTTAGATGTAAAAGTTTTCCTTACAACCTTCAGATCTTAAACGTTTCCATTCCATTTACGTAAGCATTTCGAAGAGAAAATATCTATCTAATTAGTGATTTTCTCAGATTACTCTAGACAAAACAAAAGCGGTATAATTTTCACCACCACCAAATGTTTATTTTTCTATCCACCCACACGCCACCCTCTTGATAAACCATACATACAGGGTGTGTACCTAGTCTAGCATAAATCAATACATCGTTGCATCCCTGTTAATAAGTTCAGGTGAATGATAAAAATAGAATAGAGCGTAGGTCTGTAGTTTTAGCGGGAACCGGGTGGACTGCAGCGCGCATGTTTTTCTTCCATCGATCGCCCTGTCAAACCGGGCACAGGAATCAAGCTACAAGTGCCTGTATAAAACCTTGTTACCTAGATCTAGTGCTAAAATTAGCTCTCATATCATTTATTATGTATGCCCCTTATTTAGACGTTAAATCAATAAGTTAAATTGTTAATTCATGACGCTGTTGTTGACACAATTCAGTTTGTGTTTTCGTAAATTTTCCGTTTAAACATTTCCATCGAATTACATATAGGAAATGTTTTGATTGGGACAGTTATTTTAGCCTTGTAATTACAGTTTTAATTACTTAAGAAATTTGACTAAAAATATGTAAAAAAATAACATTCACACTCCTACAGAAAGCAGTCATACTCAATACATGCAGAATAGTTAGGAAGTTTTTATCTATAGATTAATTTACCACATATTATTTCATCCCCAAAGTTGCTTTGGCCAAATTTTGGTGTAGTTCCCCAGAAATGGGTGAGGTTTGAACCTTAAACATACGTATAATAATAATAATACTCACAGGAGCAGGTTTGGTAATTAAAATACCGAGCATAGACAAAGCGAAAAAGGCGAAAATCATTGTGGTGATGAGCAGCGTTGTCTGGCACGTCATGGAGTAACAAGTCACATCGTTAGTTATTGTTTGGGAGTGCAGTCTGCACTGGTGGGTACGTCACGGGGTACTAAGCTGGGGCGCGAGTATATCGCCATCTGCTCGCGGCGAGGGCGCGCGTGCCACTGTCTCACTTCGACGGTAACTTGCTTCTACCGCTATGCCGATGCGAGCACCTTAAATGAGAAGTACAGAAGGTCCACTCGTAATCAAAGTATTAATTAAATATGTTATATGATAATATGAGTGCGTAGGTTTTTCATTATTCTACAGGATTTTGGTCATCTATTGAGCAATGATTTTTTTAGAATGTCATTAGGTAATATTTACTTTATTGCTCCTTCTGTAATTATAAGACACTTTAACGAAGATCTAAGTAAGTATAAGAGGGACTTATCTCACTTTTCTTTGCTTCAAAAACGTGCAAATTAAGTACCCAAGCGCCAATGTTCAGTTGACTTTCTACATCACCTTTATCGTGAACAAAACAGCCCCTATCTCGTTCCGTTTGTAAATATAGATGCCGCCACGAACCACGGGTCTGATTATACTGGTCGATGCTCTGTTGTCGACCAACATAACACTTGCGGCTATACAGGATAGAACTGTGGCTAGTTGTTTGCCTGGTCGCCTCGTTCGAAGATACATTCGACACATGTTTGAAGCAAAAGTTATCTTGTTTTTCAGGGATCCGTAGTACCTACTAAGACTTTGTAGTCTGTCAGTCCGTCTGTCTGTTATTAGGAGGAGTCTCATAAATTGTGATGGCTACGCAGTTGAAATTTTTATAGATGATGTATTTCTGTTGCTGATATAACAACACATACAAATGAAGACAAGCGGGATAAAATATATCAATTTTTTCTATATTTGATTGGCCGACGTTTGACCATTATCTCGCCTGGTGGTAAGCGATGAAGTATACCTACTGAAATTATTTTTACATATATTTCTTAGTGGTACGCAATCCTCAACGTGTTGACCGCGGTTTGCATGACAATTTGCATTTTCTTCGTAAACAATTGTACGGAACCCGTCGTGGAAGAGATTGACGAGGACTTGGCCAGTTTTTTCTCCTTAGTATTATACTCCCCAGTTTTATAGCAAATAGGAATGTCGGGGCATAAATTGGTATGTTCTAAACTCATGCGGGAATAAGTTTGCAATATTTTCAAATACATAGTTACGTGGTACTTGTACCTATGTATGTATGTGTGTATGTATGTATAGTTTAGATGTAGATTTGTTATTGCTATCTAGAGAGGTTGTGGAAAATTCCATTGTTTGTAGTTCGTTTATTGTTTTTGTTAAAGTAAGGTACTTGGGATTCTTTTTTCTTTTGAATTTATTGTAGATACGTGAGTCATATTAGAGTTATTGTGTGTTCGATTTCGATTAGCTCGAGTAAACAAGCTACTCCCAACTTGTTAAAAATAATAAACTAAACGTTACTCTTTCGTTACACTTAACAATTTTATATCGTTACTTTTTAAGTGTAGTAGAGCCATGCTTCGGCACAAATGGGCTGGCTCGACCGGAGTGATACCAAGGCCCCACAGAAAACCAACGTGAAACAACGCTTGCGTTGTGTTTCGTCATATAAGTGAGGTTACCGGAGGCCCAATCTCACCAATCCTTGAATCCCCAACAATCGTCAAATTCCTAGACTGGTGTACCGGGCGTCCATAGGCGATGCCGATTGCTTACCCACATGCGATCTGTCTGCTAGTTTACCAGCGTATCCCATAAAAAAAAAACAAAAATATTTTAAATAAGTCATTAAGTACTGAATTTTCTTGTGAGAATAGAGTAGACTTGCACGCCAAGCAGTCTAGTTTAATACCTAACATTAGTTAGACCAATATAATTCTCAAAGATTCAAAACAGCTATTCAATATTTAACGACACATGAAATTCCCTAAACTAGTGACATTTTCAAATGAAATCGTAATATATCATAAATTGACATAGTAAACTACAAACTGGACCTTGACCTCTGCCAGAGCTACATAAAATTTGGCGCAATGAAAGTGGATAAAAATATATTATTAAGGCGCCTCGCTGGCTACGGCGTAGCTATGTCGTAGCCCGTAGCTCGTAGCACCGTAGTAACATTGAATATGTAATTCAATAAGTAGTTTGTAAGAAAATATGGCTCCAAGTGAAATGGCCAATCCCCTTGAGATGTGCGTCTTACGACAATTGGTGTTTTTCTGCAAATGTTTGTAGCTAAGTTTGTTATCGTTTTCTATTTTTGCTTCTGATACAAATAGAAATATTTGGTTGTTTATTCAGTCCTTTGACTTTTTATTCATAATAATATTGTTAGAAGCGACGTCGACAGACCTAAATGTACCTTTTAAACATCATTACATATCAATTTAGTATTTAAAAAAAAATCTAAGCCGCCAGCCAGTTCAGTTACTTAAGGTGAGTTTACGCACACATGTTGTTGATGTAAGAATTGTCGTGGCTGCTCACAAACCAGTTCCATATATTTAGCTATACATAGGTACGTCAAGTCGATGGTTAAAACAGTATTTTTATGTAACATTTTTTAGTCGCTAATACACTTGCATGTGGACAACACGCATTTCATTTTTCCACTCCCCTGCTCGTCGAGTGAACCTTATTACAAACACCATATGGTCGAAATTCGAGCCGGATACAACAGTCAAGTCGTCGAGCCAGGAGAACAAAAGGCCGCATTCCTAAGCAGCGATAAGCGAACCTTTTTTTTTTGCACCTATTCAATTCCACGAATTAGCAAGTTGTTTACTACAATTTATTAGAAGACGTCATTACGACATTACACATCGGGAATCAGCTGCATTAGAGGTTCGTTATCAAGAAAAATGTGTTCGACCGAAGAACAACAACAACTTCTCTCCGTGTTGGAAGATACTGCTAACCTGTTACAGAAGACTCAAAGTAACCTGAGAAAATGTCCTAAACAACGGTTAACTAAAGGTTATATCGAAGCGCGAATGAAGATTATAGATGAATATTGGCATACATTTAAGTGTGCTCATCAAGATTTAGTGAAGATAACACCAAAAGCTCATAAAGGGACTTTGCCTTATTTCATGAATGATGAATTTTTTATCTATGAAGAATTATACAATGTGCTACAAGGTGACTTGAAAGATATGGTTACTGCATTATCGGGATCTTATGAATCAGGGTCAGCGAATTCTAGTTGTACCCTTCCAAATCAACAAAATAAATTCATACACTTACCGAAGATTCAACTACCGAAATTTTCTGGAACTTATGAGTCATGGCAAACATTTCAAGATTTATTTACATCATTAGTGCATAATAATTCTTCATTAAGTGATGTGCAAAAACTTCATTTCCTGAAAACAAGTGTTACGCACGAAGCTCAGACATTACTGAACAACATACAGGTCACAGATAACAATTATGCTCACGCATGGGATATCTTGAGGACAAGGTACGGGAATAAACGCTTAATATTGAATCATTCTATGAGAAGATTATTCAATCAAAAGAAGATGACTTCTCAATCAGCTTCTCAGCTAAAAGGATTGTTGGATACAACAACCGAATGTTTACATAGCTTAACCACTTTAAACATTGACACAAGCTCTTGGGATCCAGTTCTTATATATCTTCTCGTGCAGAAGATGGACCCAGAGACTCACAAAAACTGGGAAGAGTACGCGTATAAGGAAGATTCGGACTGTGTACCTACCTGGAGTGATCTTAAGAAGTTTTTAGAGACAAAGTTCCGTACATTAGAATTAACCAATCAAAATATTACCATCAAGGATTATAAAACAACTAAAGAACGTTCATTTTACGCTGCTACGCCAGTAACGGAGAAAGTTTGTGTTATGTGCAAGGATAACCACAGTTTAAGTCATTGCAAGGATTTCTGCAAATTGGAACCTAATAACAGGAGTGAATTTGTGAAGGAGAAACACTTATGTTACAATTGCTTGGTGCCAGGACATTCGGCATTTAAGTGCAAGGTGCCAGTGTCTTGTCGTCTATGCCACAGACGCCATCATTCCCTTTTACATGTTAAGAAGAACACAAAGCCAGAGGATTCCTCGGTCTCATCATCCCCAGCTGTAACACATGTAGAAGACGAGCAAGCAATACAAGTCAACACAATGATGACGTCACAATACAGCGCTAAGCAACGAGTAGCTCTTTTAGCAACAGCAGTAGTGGAAGCTACAAACGAACAAGGACACACCATCTTACTGCGAGCGCTAGTCGATCAAGGTTCTGAAGCAGCTTTCATTAGCGAGAAAGCGACTCAATTATTAAAGTTAGAACGACAACCGACTAAGGGAAGCATCATAGGAGTGGGATCCAATAGGACCGAATTGAAACATGTGGTACAGCTACAGATAAGATCACGATGGGACCGAAACTATTGTTTACCTATCAAGGCATACGTAATGCCCAAGCAACTGACCACAAGGATTCCCATGAAAACAATCAGCACACCAGAATGGTCACACATCCAAGGGCTCAACCTGGCTGATCCAACGTACTTCATGCCAGGGTCTATAGATCTGCTCCTAGGTGTAAAGGAATATGCTGACATTTTACAAAACAATATAATCAAAGGTCCACCAGGCACACCAAGCGCTCAGAAAACAAACCTAGGTTGGATTCTTTTTGGGGAAGTTTATACAACACAACATAACAATTATGTAGTCATGCATCACTCAGTCGACATCGAAGACATGTTAAAATCAATTTGGGAAATCGACTCAGATACTAAGAGACACTTAACAAAGGAAGAGCAACTGTGTGAAGAATTATACGAAAGAACAACTATTAGAACGAAAGAAGGAAGGTACATAGTTAGATTACCATTTAAAACAAACAGTCCACAATCACCTGATGGAAACACTAAATTGATAGCCATGAAGAGATTTGTTCTACTGGAAAAGAAATTCAATAAATCGCCAGACCTGAAAATAGATTATGCAAAAGTAATTAGTAATTATATAGAA